AGAGCCGTCACACGAATAGACATATGCACACCCATGTTCATGGCAGCATTGTTCACTATAGCAAAAACATGGAAACAACCTAGATGCCCATCAGCAGATGAATGGATAAACAAACTATGGTACATACACACAATGGAGTATTATGCAATGATAAAGAACAATGATGAATCTGTGAAGCATCTCATAACATGGATGAAACTGGAGGACATTATGCTGAGTGAAATAAGTCAATTACAAAAGGACAAATATTGTGTGAGACCTCTACTGTAAAAACTCGTGAAAAAGTTTACACACAAAAAGAAACAATCTTTGTTGGTTACAAGGGATGAGAGGTGTAGGGGGGAAATAGATTATAGGTAAGTGGTAACTGTGGTGAAGGGTGAGACAGTACACAATACTGGGGAAGCCAGCACAACTTGTACAAGGAAAGGTCGTGGAAGCTCCACAGACACATCCAAACACCCTGAGGGACTGAACTGCTGGGCAGAGGGCTATGGGGATCATGGTCTCGAGGAACATCTAGCTCAACTGGCATAACACAGTTTATAAAGACAATGTTCTACATTCTACCTAGGTAAGTAGCGTCTGGGGTCTTAAAAGCCTGTGAGCAGCCATATAAGATACTCCACGGGTCTCATCCCTTCGGGAGAAAGGGAGAATGAAGACAACAGGATACAAGGAAAAGATTAGTCCAAAGGACTAATGGACCTCAGCTATCAAGGCCTCCACCAGACTGAGTTCAGTACAGCTAAGATGGTGCCTGGCTACCACCACTGACTGCTCTGACTGGGATCACAACAGAGGGTTCTGGACAGAGCTGGAGAAGGATGCAGAACAAAATTCTAACACACCAAAAAAGACCAGATTTACTGGCCTGACAGAGACTGGAGAAACCTTGAGAGTATGGACCCCGGACACCCTTTTAGCTCAGTGGTGAAGTCAGTCCCGAGGTGCACCATTCAGCCGGAGATTGGACAGCCCCATAAAACAAAACGGGACTAATGAGGCACAGCAGTCCAGGGACAAGGACTAGAAGGCAGAAGGGGACAGGAAAGCTGGTGATAGGGAACCCAAGGTTGAGTAAGGACAGTGTTGACATGTAGTGGGGTTCTTAACCATTATCATAGGGCAATATGTGAACTAAATGTTTAACAAGAAACTATTTTGTTCTGTAAACCTTCATCTAAAGTGAGAACAGCAGCACAACTGGAAGAATGTAATCAACGTCAATGAATTGTATATGTACAAATTTTTGAAATGGTGTGTCTTTGGCTATGTATATTTTCACCAAAAAAAAGTCCTCCAAGGCCAAGCAAGAAGGGAGCATGTTGACATGTCGTAGGGTTATTAATAAATGTCATAAAACATATGTGTACTGACTGTTTAATGAGAAAATACTTGTTCTGTAAACCTTCACCGACAGTACAATAAAACAAAAAAAGTTTTTAAAAACTGCAAAAAAAAAAAAATCTCATTACAGATGAGTATTAACAGATGTGATGAACATTTGCAATTAATTTTGATGAGAGGGGAACTCTTAACTTTGAATCCCAATTAAGTGAAATGCTATCCTTCCAGAAAAAGAATTCCACTCTTCTCAATACAGATCTGTATTACAAAAAATTAAACTCAACTGTATTATTTTGAATTTCACCAATAAAATAAAAATTTCCAGTACACACTACAGGGGAAGTCAGCACAACTGGACTAAACCAAAAGCTAAGAAGTTGCCTGAATACAACCAAACACTTTGAGAGACACAGTAGCAGCGGCAGGGGTCTGGGGACCATGGTTTCAGGGGACATCTAGGTCAACTAACATAATAAAGTTTATTAAGAAAATTTCTCCATCTCACTTTGGTGAGTGGCGTCTGGGGTCTTAAAAGCTACCAAGTGGCTATCTAAGATGCATCAATTGGTCCCAACTCACCTGGAGCAAAGGAAAATAAAGAACACCAAAGACACAAGGAAAATTATTAGCCCAAGGGACAGAAAGGGCCACATAAACCAGAGACTCCATCAGCACAAGACCAGTAGAACTAGATGGTGCCTGGCTACCACCGATGACCGCCCTGACAGGGAACACAACAGAGAGTCCCTGATGGAGCAGGAGAAAAGTGGGGTGCAGAACTCAAATTCTAGTAAAAAGACCAGACTTAACAGTCTGAGACTGGAGGGACCCCAGAAGACATGGCCCCCAGACGCTCTGTTAGCACAAAACTAAAACCATTCCCAAGGCCAACTCTTCAGACAAAGATTAAACTGGACTGTAAGACCTACAATGATACTCATGAAGAGTGCGTCTCTTAGCTCAAGTAGATACATGAGTCTAAATGGGCAGGTCCTGTCTGGAGGCGAGATGAGAAGGCAGAAAGGGACAGGAGCTGGCTGAATGAACACGGGAAATCCAGGGTAGAAAGGAGGAGTGTGCGGTCACATTATAGGGAGAGCAACTAGGGTCACAGAGTAGTGTGTGTATAAATTTTTGTATGAGAAACTAACTTAAAATGTAAACTTTCATTTAAAGCACAATAAATAAAATAAAAATTTCATCAATAAAAAAAAAATCTATGAAAATTCTGTTTTCTCTCATCACATAAGTACCTTCATAATGTCTTTTTTTTTTTTTAATCTCTTGGCCCACAAAACCTAAAATATTTAACATATGGAGGTTAGCAGTAAAAACATAGGGTGACACCCCCAGTTTAAAGCAGCTTCTCCCTCGAGTGCTGTTCATCTTTGGGACCTGTTCCTGACAACCTGCACTGATTCTAGGACTCCTGAGACTTCTGGACAACTTCGTAAGAGAAGAATGCACCTATTCCGAGTGTGGGACAACATGCTGATGAGCAAAGATGAGGACAACAAAGAAAAGGAGAAACAGCTGAAGGTAAGGAATTATTCTGTAAGCTGCCAAAGCTTAAGGTCTGTCAGCGCAAATAAAATAAAACAAAAAAAGATGGAGTAAGACAGACGGAAAACCTTAAAATTATTATCCTGAGAAATGCCTAAAATTTTAACTCCCATCACCAAATAATTATGGATACTTATTATGAAAAAAGCTCTAAAGATACAAAGTAGAAGTCAAAATTTCTTGTCAAAGTGCTTACAGTCTAGTTAGAGAGGAAAAAAGATCCTAAAATACTTTAATGAGCTACTCCTGAGAGTTCACAAAACCCTGCTAATTCATAACTGAAGTCACTTCCAAAGTTCACCTTTCAGCCAAAGATTAGACGGGCCTATAAAATAAACAATAACATGAAGAACGTGCTTCTTAGTTCAATCAAGTACATAAAACCAAATGGGCAACACCTGCCCAAAAGCAAAGCTGAGAAGGCAGAAAGGGACAGGAAAACTGGACGAATGGACACAGGGAACCCAGGGTAGAAAGGGGTAAAAGTGCTGACACATTGTGGGAACTGCAACTAATGTCACAAAACGATTTGCATATACATTTTTGAATGAGAAACTAATTTGCGCTGTAAACTTTATCTAAAGCACAATAAAATTAAAAACAAAACAAAACAAGATTCTATAGAAGAATCCTGATCAAAGCGGGGGAAAATAGAGAAGAGAATTTCAATTTCACATGAATCCAGACTTTCTGGAGCCATAGAGGCTGGATGAACCCCTGAAACTATTGCCCTAAAATAATCTTTAAACCTTAAGCCAAAAATATCCCGATCTCATCTTAAAACCAAACAATAGCTTAACTAGTAAAAAGTGTCTGCCTTGAACATTATGCTCTTTTAAGATATATCTATACGGAATCAAACTGACAGCAGCAACTCGAAAGATCAGACAGGAACCTCAGGGGCAGTGAGTTTACGTTAATGAAAACTCAGAAAAGGAGGGCGAGAATGGCTGCGCAACTCAAGGAGCACAATCGACGCCACTGAACTAGACACGTAGTATGCAAACTTCAACTGTATGTTTGTGCTGTGTATATTCTCAACAATGAAGATAAAATTATTTAAAAAGGGAGGGAAAAAAAAGAGTTCACAAAGGAGTAATCACAAAGGAACAGGAATAATTCAGAAAGGTTTGACAAAAGAGGCTGAAAGAGAGCTGAGCCCTGGAAGTCATGAAATCAAATACACAAAATAATAAAATAATATGAGACAAGCAGCCAACATTAGAAATTCATGCATGAGAATAATATGGAGTTAAGCCGAAGAAATCCGGTTCTTTGTACAAGAATCTGTCAGAGAAGGAGGTGGCACTTCACTGCACAAGCACGAGGGGAGCCCCAGAGTCTGGGCATGGCCACATGTGAGGGGCTGGGGGTGGGGGCACATGTACACAGTGGTGTCTTGGGTGCTGAGGGAAGATGCACCTGGGATAAGCAAAGACCTGCTGCAGGAGAAGAGCTGTAGCACCTCGTGAGATCAGCAGGCCTCACCTGGCTTCGTGGCACTGGAATGAAAGAAAAAGCCAGCTGTGCAGTCATGATGAGGGTAGAACCGAGAGGTAAATGACTGATCATCAGCTGAGAAGGAAACACCATTAAAAATGACTGAAATGTCAAGTCTTGGAACAGAGAGATTACATGGCTTGTGCACCTCCCCTTGCCCTGAAGAGTCAAGACAACGGAGCTAATGAAATCAGATTGAGTACGTGTGCGCGTCCCATAAAGATCCTACCGCGCACCACTTCCTATTAAGCACCAACTAAGCCAAAAGTAAAAGTCAACTTTTCATCATTAATAAAAAGTTCCAATAAAGAGTTCCAAAATGATAGCAATTAGGACTCAAAAGTAATAAGCATATGAGTCAGGTGGCTGGCTAAAGCCAAATGTCCTTCGGCTGGTTTAAGTCAAAACACACAACACACACGTTCTTACTCTCTCAGGCTGCTATTTAACTTGCTAAAAATACCTCAGTAGTATACTGTACCTGGCTTAAAGAGACTGACCTAGACCTGGTTCACCTAGACTCCAAGGTCTGACCATAGAACACTGCCTTCCTTGAGGTAACTCCCGATAATCTTAATGGATCTTACCTTCCAAACCAAAGTTTAAAAATTAAAAGAAGTGTTTTCTTCTCTGTGGCTCCTTGCCCATTACAGGTTATCCTGGCAACAGTTGTCTTCCAAGTTACCGCATTAGCAGATGAGCAGGAAAAGAGTGGGACGGGAAACAGAAGCTCCCCTAGAAAGAAAAAAGAGCATCATCACAGCATGTTCTCCTTCCATCTTCTGAGAGCTGCCGTTAAAACATAAAACACACTGGCTCAGGGTCTTGAGTCACACAGAACAGTACCTCAGAGAATTGAAAAGCTCTAGTGAATTGAAATTTTCTATAGAAAACCAGGCAGTTGTTATCACTCCACCTCAGCTTTTAACCTACGCTAAACAATAACCCAGAAATAACTATAAACAGCGTAACAGGGCAATCAGTGAGTGAAGAAAAAAATATTCTTATTTATCCTGTGAGAACATCAATGATATTCTTATTCAACAAAGGGTCAACTGCAAAGGCACCATACTTTAAAATACTAAAACAAATTTAGAAAGTACTTCTCTTAAAGCCCCCAAGTAAGTCCATGTAATACCTTTAAACATTCCTAACTTTGACCAGGACCTGTGGAAGAACACCGAGGTCCTTGAAGTACTAGCTGTAGACAAATTCAGTCACTAATGTTAATTAGCCAAGCACTGCACATGAAAGGAATACAACCGTCTTCCAAGACTCTTCACTGATCACAGAATACCACAGAAAAACACTCAAACTTCAGTGTGCTAACCAGAATACTGTAAGAATGCAGTCTGCAAGGCCTCCTTTAAAAATACTGCTGTTCATCTAACGCGTCTCTTCCATAAAATTCACATTACTTTGTGATCTCAACTCATCATTTTTCCTCAAATAAGATAATCAATAGAAAACACTGCTAACTGCTTGTAAAACCAATAAAATGAATCGACAATAAAAACAGCAATCCCAGGTGAAAATGCAAAAGAGAATATTTCATTCTAAAAACAAAACACGTTACCACCTCAGTGCTCTCTGAACATACACTTGATCTTCTGACCAGACTTAATGGTCTGAGACTGGGGGAACCCCAGAAAGCATGGCGCCTGGATTCTCTATCAGCCCAGAACTAAAATAACTTCCAAGGCCAACTCTTCAGACAGGGATTGGACTGGACTGTGGGACATAAAGTGATACTCGCGAGGAGTGTGCCTCTTAGCTCAAGCAGATACAAGAGACTAAACGGGCAGCTTCTGTCCAGAGGTGAGACAGGAACAGAGAGGGTTAGGAGCTGGTTGAATGGATGCAGGCGATCGGGGGTGGAAAAGAGGAGTGTGCTGTCACAGTATGGGGAGAGCAATTAGGGTCACATAACAATGTGTGTATAAATTTTTGTATGGGGAAAAATAAAAGTATAGTTTATCTTCTGAATTGACACTTAAAGAACAGGCCACGCGCCCACACACGCAGCTCTGCTCCTGAGACATAAGCTGAACATGTTAGTGTCAAACTACGTTGTCAACAGCGTCAGAGGTAAGTCTAAAGTCTACCTCAACAGTCATTCTCTGTGTGTTAGGGGTTCCAGACCCTTTTAAGAATCTGACAGAGTACCCACAAAATGCACGTACATACAAACTTTGGCATTTCAACTGGAATCGTTTCAGGCCCCTAGAAACCAATCTGCAATCACCCCCTCCCCCTACCCACTCTTCCCCCAGCAGGCCAGTCAATCACAGCTCTGGGCAGTTTTCCCAGCACCACCTCCTCACCATGTCACTCACTCCCATCCAGAGATGCCAAAAGAAAACGCAGCTCTCACACCAGTTCACAGCACTAGGATCTCAGGTGCTTATTTAAGGTGTAAGAAGGATGTTTAGAAGCAATCCACTCTTCTGGAAAAGGGTCTTTTTTCCCATTGCTCATAATTAGAGAAAAGACTGGGTCTGTATTACTGACACTAAGAAATCTGGCTATTTTAAAGCATAAGACTATGAGAGACACGACAAGCACATGAAGAAATGTTCAACATCAATGGTCAGTAAGAAAACACAAGTCAAAACCACCATGAAATACCACTTCACACCCACTAAAACCAAAGCCAAACTTCAACTTACGGCGACCCCCTGTGTGTCAGAGCACAACTGTGCTCCATCGAGTTTTCAATGGCTGATGTTTGCAAGTGAGTAACTTGCCGTGTTTTTTCTTCCGAGGCACCTGTGGGTGGACTCAAACTTCCAACCTTCTGGTTAGCGGCCAGGCACACTAACCATTTGCACCACCCAGAGACTCCTCACACCCACTAGGATGGCTTTAATCAAGAAATCAAAAAATAGCCAAGTGCTAGTTTACAAGGATGTGGAGAAACAGAAAACCTCACACATCGCTGGTGGGCATGAAAAATGGTGCAGCCACTTTGGAAAACAATCTGGCAGTTCCTCAAAAAGTTAAACACAGAATTATTATAAAAAACAAACCAAACCCATTGCCATCGAGTTGATTCCGACTCATAGCGACCCTACAGGACAGAGTAGAACAGGCCCATGGGGTTTCCAAGGAGCTTGGTGGATTCAAACTGCCGACCTTCTGGCTAGCAGCCAAGCTCTGGGGAAAGAGGAATAACGGGTGATCATTTAATGCGTACGGGGTGTTTTTATGCGATGAGGAAAAAGTTCTGAAACTAGAGAGAGGTGGTGGACGTACAACATTGTGAATAAATACCACTGAACTGTACGATTTAACCTGGCATGCAGGTGAATTTCTTCTCAATAAAAATATTTTTAAAGAGTATGAGAACAAGGTCAAAAGAGGGAGAACAGAATGGCATGCCATACACGTACAGCACTAAAATTCCTGGGTAAAGAGCGTGTACTGAACACAAACTGAAATGCCTCTAAAACTAAACGGTTTTTGTTTGTTTGTTTTTAAAGGCACAACCCGCAACGACCAAAAGACAACAAAATTGGAAGGGGGCAGAAGGAAAATCAATTGAAAGCTACTTACAGAACACTTAGATCCCTAAATCTCCTCATTCTCTCTTGCCGCCCCACCCCACCCCAGCAGATGACCAGATGCTGACAATGAGCTGGAAGAGTCCAGCCCAGGGGGGACAGGATTGCCACGCTGAAAACAGAGGGCCAGTGTGAACTGCAGAACGAACGCTGGGACACGTGCCCCTGCACTGTCCAGCCCAGCCCTCCTGGGTCCCACATTTCCTGCCAGCAGCCAAGACCTCCACTCTCCAGGTTGAAGACTGAAAGTGTCTTGAGTTATCTGACTGACCTACAGAAAAAAAGACCTGGACGCAATGACCTGGGGGGCTTCCCAATCACAAAGCTCAATGAGTCCACAGCCACAAGCCCTACCCAGGACACAGCTTCCAGCCAGTTGCTTCCCAGTCTAACTTTTAAAAAACTTTTTTTTAATGGGCAAAGGATATGAACAGGCACTTCACCAAAGAAGATATTCAGGGGGGTAACAGACAAGTGAAGAAATGTTCACGATCGCTAGCCATTAGAGAAATGTAGATCAAAACTACAATGAGGTATCATCTCACCCCAACAAGGCTAGCATTAATTCAAAAACCACAAAATAATAAATGCTGGAGAGGCTGTGGAGAGACTGGAACACTTATACACTGTTAGTGGGAATATAAAATGGTACAGCCACTTTGGAAATCGATTTGGCACTTCCTTAAAAAGCTACAAATAGAAATACCATACGATCCAGCTATCCCATTCCTTGGAATATATCCTAGAGAAATAAGGGCCGTCACACAGATAGATACATTGACACCCATGTTCATTACAACACTGTTCACAATGGCAAAAAGGTGGAAACAACCTAGGTGCCCATCAGCGGACAAACAGATAAACAAATTATGGTATATCCACACAATGGAATACTACGCAACGATAAAGAACAACAATGAAGCCGTGAAACATAACACAGAGGAATTTGGAAGGTATTATGCTGAGCGAATTTAGTCAGTCACAGAAAGACAAATATTGAATAAGACCACTATTATAAGAATACAAGAAAAGGTTTAAACACAGAAGAAAACATTCTTTTATGGTTAGGAGGATGGGAAGGGAGGGCGAGGGTTATTTACTAACTAGATAGCAGATAAGAATTATCTTAGGTGAAGGAAAGTCAGCACAACTGGACTAAACCACAGCTAAGAAGTTTCCTGAATACTATCAACACTTTGAGGGACAGAGTAGCAGGGGTAGGGGTCGGGGGACCATGCTTTCAGGGGACATTGAGGTCAACTGGCATAACAAAGCTTATTAAGAAAATGTTCTGCATCCTACTTTGATGAGTGGCGTCTGGAGTCTTAAAAACTACCAAGTGGCCATCTAAGATGCATCAATTGGTCCCAACCCACCTGGAGTAAATAAAGGAGAATGAAGAACACCAAAGACACAACGAAAGTAGTAGCCAAAGAGACAGAAAGGGCCACATAAACCAGAGACTGTGTCAGCCTGAGACCAGAAGAACTAGATGGTGCCTGGCTACCACCAATGACCGCCCTGACAGGGAACACAACAGAGAGTCCCTGACGGAGCAGAAGAAAGGTGGGGTGCAGAACTCAAATTCTAGTAAAAAGACCAGACTTAATGGTCTGATTGAGACTGGAGGAACCCCAGAAAGTATGGCTCCCGGACTCTCTGTCAACGCAGAACTAAAACCATTCCCGAGGCCAACTCTTCAGACTGGAATTGGACTGGACTGTGGGACATAAAGTGATACTCGTGA